TTCTTTTCCTCATTCTATTTTTCTTACACTGATTTTTTTATTTGGTAGCTTTTGGGTCAAGGGATACCTAAATTGTACGGAGTACTTAGTTTTAAAGATATGAGTAAACACAAATAAAATTTTGAGTATGGTAGAGATTTTAAATGAGCCTAAAAGAAATGAGTATACGTCTAAAAAAAAAATGAGTATACGCCTAAAAGAAATGAACTCACACAAATAACATCGAACACTTTGAAAATGAGTTTTCTGTTAAACTAAAATGAGTACAACACTCAAAATGAATGAGCATACAAAAATGAGCTTTCGAACGTTTTGATACTCATTTTGTAAGTTATGTATGTTCATTGGATATTGGTGAAAACTCATTTTAAAATATCATATTCATGCATATTTCAAAAGTATAATATTACATCAAATTTATATATTAGATTCATACGGATTCAAATTAACACCAAAAATCAATGAGCATGCACAAATGAACTTTTGAATTTTTTTATACTCATTTTGTAAATTATGTATGCTCATTTGATACTTCTTTGTGCTCATTTTAAAATTTTGCACATATCAAACATGTCATACATTAGATTCACATATTGAAATTAATTAGAAACATAATTTAAGAATTTTTTATAAACGAAAAAAAACTGAATTAGAAGATATGAAGTATTAATCACTGGTGCTCAATGTTAGACTCTTAATACTCAGAAGAACGGACTCAATGCTCATCCAAATGACATCAATGCTCATTTAAGAGAAACCATGAACTTCATCAAAATTACAAAAATCCACCAGCTGTACAGTGTCAGCCGTACAGTCGGCTGTATGGTATATGCTTCCATAGATCGTGGATTCGGCGGGTATAGCAATTGCAAGCTAATCCGTTCTTTCTACGTTTTTATTTTGTTTTTTATGTTTAATTGAAATTTCTAAAAATGAATATATTTACCTAAAAGATATTTCAATAAATTTTATGTATCTGCAATATAGAATGGAGTATATTATAAAGTGCATATACGTACTCTTCTGAGTCTTCTCCTCTTCTGCAGCTAAGCTTGTGACTAGTTGAATGTAAAAATGAAAAGACAACCTCTTTTCTAATTGTTTTAACACTTAAATATTACAAACATGTAATTTGTCCAATGGAAGGAGAATTACGCTAATGATATTTTCGTTAAAGATGTTTTAGAGGCTGGCCGCTTGGCGTTGGCCTAGTAGAACAAATAGAATGGCTATTTCAGATAGATATCTTCCTCATAGTATTAGGTGTGACGAGTTAGTTAAAGGATGCGTGGGGCTATTATCTTGTTTTATTAATGATTAAGGGTAATTTGGATATTTGAATTAATTTTGTGGCTGTGGATAGTAAATTATGGGCTGTGTATAAAATTTCCCTACATTTAATACACGTTTTCTTTATTTTAGTTCTCATCTATTCATGAAGTTTTCTCAAATCCAAAATGGTCAAGTTTTATTATATTGTCTATTATGGTGGATAATACTCCATGGACAAATTTCAGTAAAAACATTCCAAATCACAAGTGACATAAGGCTGGCCATTCTTGAATCGACAATACTGGTGCTATTCTCCATCCTAAATGATTCGACGTACGTTTTTCTATAAAAAAAAAATTGAAGAGGAGAGCTTATATTGAAATCAAAACATTAACATTCGAAAAGAGAGTAAATTGAGCAAAAGATCACAGACAATCGTCAACCCTTGAACCTTCAAACAAGCAATATAACTCGTTGATCCATTAACGGGCAAACATGAACTAGTGCTTATATTGAAATCAAAACATTAACATTCGAAAAGAGAGTAAATTGAGCAAAAGATCACAGACAATCGTCAACCCTTGAACCTTCAAACAAGCAATATACCTCGTTGATCCATTAACGGGAAAACATGAGCCACAGACGATTGAAGTAGATCTAAACTCACCTCATCTTAATGCAAGAGTCTTACAATAAAAACATAGGGATTTTTTCAAAAATAATACTAAAATAAATCTAATTGACAAAAATAGAACTACTTTCAAAAAGTTCTAAAAATGGGACTAAATCTTCTACCGGTGACAATTACCAAACGCACCAATGACTCATCCGATCGTGACCAATTCAACTGTGACCAATCCGACCAATGACTAATCCAACCATGATCAATTCGACCCGTGACCAATCCAATCATGACCAACCCAACTGTGACCAATCCGATATGACCCCCCCACGCACAGCCCCCTTCCCCATCCCCATCCCCATCCCCAGCAGCATCCAACCCTTCCAACACCCTCCAGCAGCCCCCCCGCCCCCTCCAACACCCTCCCCAGTCTCCAGCGACCTACAACCCCCCTCCAGAACCATCACCCAGCCGGTCAGCCCCTGCAGCCCTCCAACACCATCACCTAGCCCCCTGCAGCCCTCTCTTCAAAGCTTGTCGTTGTCAAGCTCACAGAGGAAGAGGAGCTCGGCCCATTGATGTGAACGCTGGCGTTACAGGGCTGTCAGCGTTCGTATCCCTATCTCCATTTTTGTTGGCTACGTCTTGGAGACCATTGTTTGCTGCACAAGCTTCAGAAGCGGACGAATCTCGCGGTAGCAGAAGGGAACGGAAGTTGTTGGGTCTCTTTGTCTTTTTAAAAAGTAGTCCTAGTTTTGTCCAATCAAAAGTCCCAAATGCTATTTTTGACATTATTTAATTTCTAAAAAATAACAACAACAAAGCAATAAACAATCTGCTTAAATAAAACAACAATAAAAAATGCAGAAAAATAAACGTTCATCTCCATTCTCACGAACACTTTCACAGGTCCGCCAACCAGATCGCTCCAAGGTGGCGGTTCCGGAGGGGGACGGACTGCCGATCTATCTTTTCCCTTGCTCAGCCCTTCACCTCTCATTGTCTTCTCGTCGCTTGTTCCGCCTCCACTACCACCACCCTCTACCCATGTTGATTTGCTAGAAACTAACCTTTCGACTTCCGCCTCAATTGCAGTAACGAGACAATCCTGCTCTAGATCATTTATGGAAGACATGATGATCGTTTCTTGAACCTTGGATTCGTTTCAAAGGATGCAACAGCACTCATGTCTCCTTAAAAAACACCCTAGAAGCTTAGAAAAGAAAAGACGGACAAACAATTGGGGAAAAGAAACCCTACGCGACGACAAAGCTGCTAGGGAAAATGTTGATTAGGGTTAGAGAGATGTTAGAGCCTCTCTCTAAAGCTTCGTTAGATTATGCCAATTACGTTTTTCTATTTTTATTAATAAACAAAGTTTATTTTTATTTTATAATGATGAGTATCAAATTTTCATCATTAGTTTAATTTTCCTAAAAATATGTTGACTAATTTCGTTCAAGTGGAATATTTTAACTTTTGTCTTGTATGGAGTACATTTACAAAAATGATGTTTGTACCCACTCTTATACCCACTTTTGTACCCACCTATGTTTGTGTAGTGTTTTTTTCTGTGAACCCCGGTTCATAGACAATATTTTGTACAAACAAAATATTGTCTGTGAATCGGGTTCACAGACAAAAAAAAACACTTCACAAACATGGTGGGTATAAGGTGAGTATAAGAGTGGGTACATCAAGCATTGTTGTACTTTTTATCATACCTTTTTTCATAATTAGACAGAATCATTCAATCGAATCATTTCAATTAAGTCACATATCAGCATAGTTTCAGATAGGACTGTTAACGAGCCGAGCCCGAACACCTAAAGCTCGAGTTCAGCTCGATAAGGAATTAATGGTGTTCGGGTTCGAGCTCGAAGCTCGACGAGCTTTATAAATGAGACTTGTGTTCGGCTCGATAGGCGTTCGATGTTCGTACCGAGTGACCGATAAGCTCGATAAATATGGTCGAATTTAAAATTTTAGGTGATGCTCGTTAATAGGCTCGTGTTCGAATGATTCGACAAGACGACAAGTATTTGGTTCGTTAATAATCATATTTAAATTAATAAAATCATACTAATTATACTTAAAATTTGATTATATATAAATTATATTTATAATTCGGCGTGTTCGATAGGCTCGAATTCGAACCGAGCCGAATACTACTATGTTCGAGTTCGGCTCGATAATTTTTTCGAAATTAAAACGCAGCTCGGGTTCGAGTTCGAAAGCTCGTTAAGCTCGACTCGTTAAGTTTGAAACGGAGCTCGAACTCGAATAGTTCGATAAAAATCGGTTCATTAACTGCCCTAGTTTCTTTCAGATCAGCGAATTGGCTTTATTGATACAATAATGCTTGATGTACTCACTCTTATACACACCTTATACACATCATGTTTGTGAAGCATTTTTTTGTCTATGAACGTGGTTCACAGACAATATTTTATTTTTGCAAAATATTGTGTGTGGCCCGGAGTTCACAGACAAAAGAAAAACACTTCACAAAGTATATAAAAATGAATACAAACGTCATTTTTGTTATTGATAATACCTACTCCGGTTATGGTACACATTTTGTTCTCCAACAATAATTGTATGAGCTAATGACCGAAATAGCCATGTGCCATCTTCTCGAGTTCTCATTCTTTATCCAGCGGTCATCGACATTTTTTGTCTGCACGGACGAAAATCGAAGACCATTACGAGGCGCCGCGTATGATCCATCGGATCATTTTCTCGGCGTCACAATTTATGTATGATGGCTAGGCTCCAACTCATTTATCGGATAAACACCACAACCAACGCCCCAGATGATGCCACGTGTCACACGGCCCCACCAACTCACGTTCAGTATCGGCTGCGATCTGCGGAGTAGAAACTTGTAGCATATTCGGGCATATCCATATACGACGTTATCATGGACTGACGTGGATCCTCGCTGTCTGGTGAAACATCGCGGGCCCCATCCGTCTATTCATCCAATCAGATCCCGCCGTGTGGAAAGTGGGGTCCAGTTTCATGTGCGTGAACCTTCCTCTCTCCCCTGTCGGCAGATTTATGGTATATAAGCCCACCTTCCGAATGGATAAACAAATCCCCAATTAATTGCTTACGATTTCGAGTTTTTTTGTACAGCCGTCTTTCAGCCTTTATCATCTGAGGAAATGGGTAGAGTTCCGATGAACAGCCGGATTCTGACGTTTGACAACCGGGGATTGGAGTTTTCCGGCGATGTCGCGATAAACTTGTCGGGGAATACGGTCTTCGAGTTTCTTGACGATGACCATGGTCAATGGTCGTCCCCGGGGTCCACGTGCGACGAAATTTGGGATGAAAGTGAAGAGGTCGGGGATGAGGGTGAGAGAAAAGATAACGTTGAAGACATCGATAACTGTTTCTGGGAAGCTCAACAGCAACTCTTACAAGTAAGTGATCAATGATCATTAGCTTGTAAATTGTAATGTGGACTCGTAAAATTAAAGATTAATTTGGGTTAATCGTCTAGTCAATGCCTCGGAACTTTTCTTACCCTTTGAAAGATAAAATCAATATAGGACGAATTACGTTTTCTTATTGGTAATTTTAAAACAAGATTACATATGGCACTATTAATCTTTTCTCCCAAAAGAATAGGTAGGAGGTTGGATTCGCATCTCAATCAAAGATATTGATTAACATGAATAGATATTATAATGGATTTAGAAAAAAATCCAAAAAAACAAGATTACATATTTTTTGCTTATCAAAATATGATATATTTAGCCATGAATAAAAAAAATCATGTGTTCTGCTTAATTTAAAAAGAAAACAGTTTTAACTCATTTGAATATTTTTTTATTATTTGGCAAAAATTGTTTTACTTTTATTCAATAAATTTTTATAAAAAGTCAACAACTTAACCAAGATCCTACCTTGATCAACTAAACAACTTCAATTCGTAATCTTAATAGCATATTCACTTTAATTTGAGGAAATACCAATTGTTTTTTATTCTAGAAATGCCCTAGGAAATATAGTGTGCATCCTTTGACATTATTTGGTACTTTGGTATCTCACAAATTAAGAGGATGATGAAAAAGGTACGATAGGACAAAAATAATGGAACGATATAGTACAATTTGATATTGTTTGGTACACTCTTGCATAATTTGTTTCTATACAATCATTATTATGTGATGATAGTAGAATAAATTGATAAAAATTTCTTTATTGAATAAGGATTTAAGGAAGTAAGAATTATTTTTGGGACCGATATATATAGAAATTTAGTCGGAACATAGAGAGTACTTTTGTATTAGATTTGAGAAAGGGGAGTGAATTAATATGATTAATCTTCTTATATAATTGCAGGCTACGTTGTGCAGAACAACTCCCTTAGAGACAAAAATTAGGAGTATCACAAGAGAAACATTAAAAGAAGCAAAGGAAAGGGGAGAAGCATGTGATTGCGAGAAACCACCGGTCAATGGAGGCTGCCGTAGCTGCCTAATGAAGGCGGTTTGTTGCCGTCTCCGAGAAGCTGGTTTCAACTCCGCCATTTGCAAGTCTAAATGGATGAGCTCGGATATACCCTCAGGTATTTATTTATTTATTTATTTATTTATATATTTATATATTTAATTTATTTATTCCATCACTTATGTATCATCACAACCATTAAAGACGAGCTTTGCATTTTGTTCCAAAAAAAATAGACGAGCTTTGCATAAGTAAAAAAATAAATCAGAAATAGAATCACAATCAATTTCCAGAAACCGATCTCGTCCAACTTCTGAATAACTGCTTCAACGAGTATTTTGGAACCATCAGACATATTTCTACACTTTCACTCAAACACTCTAATTTTGTTTCTTTTCACTCGGAGAGTGGATTTTTTTAAGAAATAGATATAAACACTCTCTAATTAATGTAATTATCTCTCCCAAAATTTTGATGTGTAAATGTCTAATTATGTGTTTGTGAATTGTGATAATATGATAGGTGAACATACATTCTTAGACGTGGTAGACTACTCCAACCCCAAAAGAGGAGAGGTGAGAATCGTGATCGAACTAAGCATTAGAAGGCAGTTTGAGATGGCAAAAGCCGGCGAAGAATACGATAAACTGGTGAAGGTGTTGCCGGAGGTGTTCGTCGGAAAACTGGAAAGACTGATGGCCGTCATAAAGATTTTGTGCGCGGCGGCGAAGAAATGCATGAAGGAGAGGAAAATTCATATTGCCCCATGGAGAAAGTATAGGTACATGCAAGCCAAGTGGCTCAAAACAACCCACCGTACCACGGCGGCTCTACTGTTCCCCGCCGGTGACTCTACCCGGCGTCCCCGGCCGAGAGCGTCGATGCTCACCGTTGATCTGCTCGAGAGTTTGCCCAATCCCCACCGTACAGCAGTCGCAGTCGTGTGAATTGATGAGTTATTGAATTGAACAAATTAAATATCTTAGCGGTCGTGTGAATGAGTTATTTACTTATTTAATTGATCAAATTAAATTTGTTCTTGTACTTAATTACTTTTATGAGTGTACTTTCGTTTTTCGTTATTATTATTACTCCTACTACTTTATTCTTTGTTCTTGGACAGTTGGACTAATTGATTAGTGGTCTGAAAGATGCAATTGTTGTGATAAAATTAGACTTGCACAAAATCGGCCCGCCCAATTGGACAGTACAAATGGCCGGCTCGGGCCCGGCCCACAATAACATATGGGCGGACTTGGGTTATGATGTAGGCCCGTTCGGGCCGATAAGTCCACCCCGCTACATCTAGTATACACACATACACACACGCACATATATATTTATATTTAGGGAAAAGTACGGAAAATGTACATATGGTTGGACTTGTTTTCAGATAGGATCATGTGTTTCATTCTTTATCAAAGTGGTTCATGTGTTTGAATTCCGTTATCACAAGAGGGTCACACCGTTAAAAACATCTGAAAAAAACCGTTACAAATAACTCCGATTTCAAAAGTACCTATTTGACCCTTTAGCCATTTTTTTAGCTTATTTTTGGGAAAAAGGGTCAAATAAGCCCCTCTACTACTATGAAAATGTCAATTAGGTCCATGAACTCAAATAACATCCAATTAAACCCATGAACCGTTAAAAATGAGTCAAATCGTCTTTTTAGAAAGTATCCACCCGTTTCCCAGTTAAATTGTGTATGTGGCGGGTGACGTGGCGTTATTTTTCATTTTTATATTTCTTTTCAGGTAGATTCTATGGTACCCATAAGGTACCGTACCTTTGTCCACATGGACCAATCAGAATCATGCAGTTGAATTATTTAAATCTAAATTAAAAGGGATTTAATGATTTGGACAAATCAAATGCATGGCAGGTACGGTACCCCATTTTTTAAACGGGTACCGGAGTTGTCGCCTTCTTTTCATTCTCCTTCTTTCTCTCCAGCTCCCTTCTTCCCTGCGACTGCATTTTCTTCATTTTCTCTTTTCCCTTCTTCCTTCTCTCACCTTAGTTTTCTGCCGGAGACCGGAGTCCTCTTCCTTCCGCTCACCTTGTTCAGTTGTTCATGTCCTTCGCACTATCTTCATTCCAGGTCTTCTTTTCCGTAGGAATTCCAATTCCTCATCAATGTCTCCTCTTGTCCGACCTCTCGGCGAGCAACAAGGGTCGGAGAGCTCCTGAAACGACTCAATCCTCCAGATCGGTGATGAGCAACAGAGGTTAATTTGCCTGCGGAGCTACCAAGAGGCGACTGGTTTCCATATCGGCGACTTCACCCATATGCCTGCAACGAGCTCCGAAGTTGGCGGTTGCTCTGAGACCGAGAGGAGAGAACGGTGATGGAGGCCGGGCAGGAAGAAACGATTTTGGTGACCGAAGGGCCGGAGATGGAGATTTCATGGGGGTAAAACCGGATGCATAGGGTAGAGAAAAGTTACAAACTTTGGAGGCGGGGAGATGCGAAGAAGCGAAGAAATTGAAAAAATGAAGGGAAAAAATAAAAAGAAAAACAATATATTTACACATGTGGGCCACGTGTTGCCATGTGGCACCAAGTGTAATTTTTTATCTGGAAACTGTTTGGTTACCTGATAAAAATATATTTTGAACATTTTCTCATGCTTCAGGTGTTTAATTGGACGTTTTTTTGAGTTCGAAGACTTAATTGACATTTTCTATATAGTACGAGAGTTTATTTGACACTTTTCACCTTATTTTTCTATTTTTTAATTGTAAATGAATGTGAAACTTGGTATTTTAGTCAGGTCATTATAGTTTTACTCCTATCAAAGTAAATTAAACATTGAACTCCTATTTATCCACTTATTCAATGTTTTACTTATTAAGGTAAATATCTCATTTATCTTTATGCATATTTATAGTTTATTATGTTTAAATTTACATTTTTAATTCTTAACAACTACCCCAATCAATATAATACGTAGTATATATTTTTGTACTTAAAGATAATACTTTGTGCTTGAATTTTAAATTTTAGATATAGTTTCTCATTATTATTTTTGTGTATGTATTTTTTGTATGAGGTGAAAGACCTATATCATTATACCATATATTATGTTTGTGGGTTTTTAATTATTCCTAAAATTTGATGTATTTGTTATGGTCAAACTTATGTATTTGACATATAAACGTAATTCTTCTTTACAGAATTGGTTCTGTCAGCTGAACAATTACAGAGGTTTGCTTTACAAGAAATAGAAAGATTGTTGCAAAGTCGTGGAAAAATTTGTGTGATTACCCGCCCATGACTACTGTTGTACTTGATTCGTTGTTGTCTTCTAATGATAGACTCATATATGAAGAAATGTGTTATGACCAAATAGCATTAACTGAAGAACATTCTACGTTACTCAAGTCTCTTACAAATGAGCAACTTCGAGTATATGAGACGGTCATGCAGTCCATTAATAAAGAAGTCGGTGGAATTTTTTCTTTGTTTATGGGTACAGAGGTTCAGAAAAGACATTTGTATGGAAGACACTTTCTGCTGCCATTTGGTCTAAAGATGAGATTGTTCTTAATGTTGCATCAAGCGGTATTGCATCTCTTCGTTTACGGGGTGGACGTCACGTACGGCGCACTCAACACTCAAGGTTTGCAATTCCGATAAGTTTGGATGAAGACTCAACATGATATATTAAGCAGGGAAGTCCGCTTGCAAAGCTGATTGTACATACGTTGTAAACTTATAGTATGGGATGAGGCTCCAATGTTACATAAGTTTTGCTTTGAAGCGTTAGACTGCAGTATGCGCGACATAATGCAATTTCATACACCTAATAGTGGAAATCTTCCTTATGGGGGAAAAACAATGGTGTTTGGTGGGGATTTTGGTCAGGTGTTGCCAGTGATACCTCATGGAAGCAGACAAGATGTTGTAAATGCCACGATAAGTTCATCATATCTGTGGTCTGAATGCACAAATATAAACAACAAAAAAGGGTATTAGTTTAAGATATCTCACTATCTAGATCAGTATCACTTATACAATAAGTATGCATTAATGTGTATATTTTTACTTTAAGAATTACAACTAATAATTAAGATCATGTATTATTGTGTGTGTGTGTATTACTCCGTAGTTTGTATTTTATTTGAAGTTGTATAACTAATCACTTTATGTCTTAGTATGTGTGTGTATACTAATAAGAAATTTTAAGTGCGGCCAGGTTTTTAACGAGTTCGAATCATATGTAACATGTAATACCCGAGATTAATTTAAATGGATTAATAGTACTACTCATACCAACAAGATGCATCTCCTTTTAAGGGAACTCATCACCAAGAACTCCAAAGTTAAGCGTGCTTGCATGAGAGTAGTCTTGGGATGGGTGACCCCCTGAGAAGTTTCTCAGGGTGCGCATGAGTGATGACAAAGTGTGCGGTAAAGGCTCGCTCGTGGTGGTTTGTGGAGACAGTACTAGAGGTCTGAACTAACTACCTCGGGTCCTGCGGGGCCGGGGTGTTACATAACATACTTAACCTGATTATTAAAAATACTAACAGGTCCAGATCCGAGTAAATGGAATAAAATATATACTTATACTCGTCAAAAACAATCGGGTCGGGCTGGGTCTAGACCCGATGCATTGAGAGGCCTACCTCTTATGAACAATTTCACTTAGGCATGTGACCGTTTCGGTTCTTACTCAACATTGGTGAAACCGTTTTTATAAAAATTTTTACTAATGAAATCGATTCGCTTATGTAAAAAATCAAGAACTGTTATGAAACTGAACCAATACTAAACGGTTCAGTTCTTATTTTCATCCTCCTCGGAATTTTTTTCCCCATCTAATAAATGAGCACATTATTTGCTTCCTAGCTACCACATAAAAATGTAAAATGAAAATTAAACCCAAATATCAAAATTTTATTTAAAGTTTTAATAACCTCAAACATCAAATCTCAAACTTAACTAAGTGAACACTTAATAGGATAAAAGAAAGTTTCAATTTTTTTAATTTAATAAGTAAAACATAAAAACCATAATTATGTGATAACAATGAAGGTTTTTCATCATCACAATAGCAAGATATGCATTTCCAAGTAGCTTCAATTGAAACAGTCCAGTTGAGTCATACAATGTAATCTTCATTATAGTCTATTTGCTAGCACCATTCCTAGCAAATTGCTATCTACGATTTTCCCTTAGATTTATTGTAAATTATGCTACTAGCAAATAACTATATATGCAAACTCAATGTTTTTTTACATTTGCGAGAATTATCAATTTGGTCCTCGTACTATCACGAAAAGGTCAATTAGGTCCTCATACTAAAAAAAACAATCATACCCCCGAACATTATAAAAACGTTCAATTGAGTCCATTTGCAGAATTGCGGGTCTCTTGCTATGTCAGCCAGTCACCCGCTGACGTGGCGCACATGTGGCGGTCCGCGTGTGTGCCACATCATCAACAAATGGTTGACTGCACATCCATATGTGCGCCACATTAGCAAGTCACTGCTAAGTGGGCTGCCATTTGTGTGCGATGCAGCGGGTGACCTGCTAATATGGCAAGTAACCTGAAAATGGATTCAATTGAATATTTTTACAAATTTCGTGGATTTGATTGATTTTTTTAAAAAGTACGAGGACCTAATTGGTTTTCGTGATAGTATGAAGACCAAATTGATAGTTGTCCCTAAATCTAATACGGAGTAGTTACAAATATCATGGAGATAGTTAAGTAAAATATATGCAATCGACTACAAGTTACTTGAGTTATTTTATATTTATAAAATATATGTGATTTAACAAATCTTGACTTTGTAACAATGATTACTTTTTTTGTTGGTTAAATTAGAATTGTTGGGTAAATATCTCCGATTGTACTACCAATTGTTGGGTAAATATCTTTGTTATCATTGTTATTATTGTTATTTTTATCACTACTACCATCACTATTTTTTATTAACGATTTCTTAACGGTTCCGTACACATATTTTATATATATAGAAATCAAGAACCGAACCGTTAGTAACAACTAGAAATCGAACCGATAACAACTAAGGATGTTTTTACTTGGACTGTAATTTGCTGGTCTGGTCTGGTCTGGTCTGGTCTGAACTGGTCTGGTCTGGTCTGGTAAGGTCTGGTTTCTTTGTATTTTTATAACTATCCAAGTCTGG